ACTTTGGCCCCTCGATAATGGGCCTTTCAGGAGATGTCTGGAGCCTCAAGGACGAGGAGAAATGGCACGTAACCGTGAGAGCGAACCGCTCTCCCCCGGCGCCTCGCAGAGCAGCAGCACACTTGTTAAGCTGTCAGGGAGGAGGGGGCGACCTGGAGCGATGGGGGCGGCCAGGCAGACCACCCACCATCCACCGAAGCGGCCTTCAGGCTCCGAGGAGCAGAGCTAACTGCTCTTCTTCTTCACCATGAGAAATGATGGCCATCGTTAGCTGTTAGGATTCTCGCCGGCCAAATTCATGCACAAATAAATCTCCCGTTGGAGCTAAAAAGGTGCAGTTCCACCCAGCGATGTCTCCTCAAAACATTTCCCAATAAGAAGCATGAGTCTTGTCGCGTTGGGTTTCGATTCTTTGTCAACACCAACTCAGGATGTCAGTGATTACCTGACTGTGTTACCATGGCACTCCAATAATATGAAATGTCGCTTGCAGTCCTTACGCCTTTGATATTTGTGTAACCTAAGCTGATTCATGCATACTTTAAAGCAAAATTCTGTAAAGCATTCTTTTTATTAAGCATACCCATAAAACTTTATAGCTGCTGTCTCAAGCTGATTCCCTAGAAGGCCCTGTATACCACAGCCTTTATTGCAACTCAGTCCTCCAGCTTAATGTCTTTAATTAATTGTTAAATATCTGCAGCAGCCTATACAGAAATATGCCACTTTTCTGAATTTCTGTGTGACACTGTGTTCTGACACACACTGGCCTATTCTCCTATTCATGACTAAACTGATTAAAAGTAGCAACATGAATCGATATGATGATGTTCTGTGTGTCTGAAATCCATGGCTTAGCTACGTCTTATTCAACAACAATTTCCTAGAATTAGAAAAAATGCTTCCATATTAGAAAGTCAGGATTCATAAAAGTAAAACATCATACTCACACAGCGGACTCCAGGGACGCTGCTGGAGGTGGATTCCCCTCCAAATTCGATTTGACCTCAGTGTAAGTGCTGATTAACTCCCTTCACGTATCACATCAGGCTCTATGGTAATTTCCCAGTGTGGGAACATCCACACATAGTCCTCGTTAACTCATAAAATTAGTCACACTATGTGATGTGCAGCTTGTGATATGAAGATGTTCAGGGCAAGAGGGGTCAGGCAAGTTCGATTTGTGAAATATTCTGAAATAGTTCCATCTCAAACTGTATGACTTGTTAAAGGAATGACTAAAAAGGTTAAAACTCAGGCTATGTAAGTATCCTTCGATAGCAGGAATTAAAACGGTGTGAGATGAACATCGTGTGTGATGATGAACACATCCATGGGGCTGAAGCAGGAAAGCACCCAACCTGCAGCCTGTCTCACTGTCTCACGAAAGCTATGTGAGCCAGCACCCAACCTGTGGCCTGTCTCACTGTCTCACAGAAGAAAATAACCACATTATAATCTCAATTAATAATCAGTTGCTTGTGTGTTGGGGGTGGGGCTTATCCTCTGACACCACCCTCTCCCTAAGCATCCTGGCCGCCCCTCACAAATGGGTAAATTCATTAAGTCATTAAGATTAGTTTAGTGCCACGATGAGTTGCATCATGCACACATCCTGTATCATGAAGGACTTCAAGTAGGGTGACCAGGACAGGATTTGTAAACTACCATTTCAATCAAAAAGACCTGGATTTCACTTAAGCACTGCTGATTGGTCAGTCTCCTATATTCATGCATGTGTCACTAATGTTAATGTTAAACAGCTGGACGCGTCTTTCAATCAAGGAAACAAACCAGTCAAAACACAAAAAGAACTGAACTATTTAGCCAAGCACAGGAGCCTTTCAGTTTTAAAGTAGTTTGCAAATCCTGAAGTAGCTCAGTGTCGACATGGATTATCTGGTCACCCTACTTCAAGCTGGCATCATATTCTGGAAAGCAGAGACAGAAACTGTACTCCCTCAGTACAAGGGCATTCAGGAACAGATATTCACCCCGTGAATGTCTTTGGGGCGTTCTGCCAACGGGAAACCGGCAGGAATGTAAAAAGGAAGCAGCCGCGCGTCACAGTGTCTTTGTGTGCCGCGTGAAATTACAGGTGCTAATGAATCATTAAGCAGCGCAGAATATTCCCAGTGTTACAGCAGGGTACGCAGAGCAGCCATACGACAGCATTGACCACAGGCAGGACCAGCGGGCTGAGCAGGGAGCCCAGTCTCATGGCTCTCAGAACACGAGGCTTCAGTGCCCTCTTCCTGTCAAATCCCCCCAATGCCCCCAACGGGAAAAGGGTTATGGGGATGGCGCAGGGAGCTGTATGCACTGGAGCTCGACAGGACAAATTAATAAAGGCAACCAATTAAGTGCTCCTTTTTAATGAGTGAATTTCTGTAGCGGGGCGGTGTGGCAGAGGGCCCATGCTGGATACAAACTGGGCCGCCGGGGCAGAAATGGCAACACGGCTCATTCCTGGAGAGGCGCCTGACCCTAATCTCAATGGTACATGAAAACCCCCCCCACCTTCAGAGGTCTGTTTTCATCACGGTGCTGCCACCGCCAGCCCCTTCTCTGCCGTGAGGGACGTTACAGCTACTGTGGTGTTCAGTCTCATTCAGCCTCCTCTCTGCCACCTCGGCTTAACTGAAGATGACTGACAAACACAGTGAACAGAAGCACACAGGAAGCAGAGAGTGGGGGCGGGGGGGGGGTGGTGAGACAGGGATACAGTTTATCTAGCCTGGCTCCCCTCTCTGGGGACAGATACTTATGCTACAAATATGTACACGACCTTGTAACAAGTTTTCGCCACTCCTGTACACGCAGTGCCATTTGCTGCAGGAAAGCGTCCTGCAGTCACATGACAGCTCTACCCATTAATAGTCGTTTCTGTGTGACACTTGTCTGTCAAGTGGAAAAGACCCTGGAGTCAAATTAAATACATTTTGCAGAACAGGAGCATCACCATTAAGTTAGGGCTCATTCCAGGGTACGGTAAATTAATTTACGGCCCCTGCACCCCTCCCCAGCTCTTCGCCTTCACCTAAGTGATTTTACATTGGGGTGGGGTCATTTCTGACAGCTAGCCTTGGGTGACAGCATAGACAATAAAATTATTTTAAAAAACAGTGGGTGAAATGAGCCAGGGGTGCCTCCGCAGTTTCCAGGCTCTGTGGACATAAATGCTTTAGAACAAACAGATAAACAAACCGAAACAGACGTGTCCTGTGTAAATAAGGGCAGCTGGCAGCTGGGCATCTGCCACAGCCACCCCAGGGCTGTTGGGGGGCAAGAGCAGCGGCGCCATGGGGCCCAGCAGCACTCCGCTTCCTGCCACTGGGATCCCCTCAGCTTCATGCCACTGAGATCCGAAAAGCTGAATGCCACAGGGATCGGTTTAGCTTAATGCCACCGAGATCCATTCATTCCAATGCCACAGGGATCCATTCAGCTTTCTGCCGCAGGGATCTGCTCAGAATCCTCCTGCTGGGATCCATTCAGCCACTTTTGTTGTGATGTACGTCTAATTGTCCAGCACAGTGAGAGCCCTTAACATCATCCATAAAATGTGAAAAAAAGGATTTCTACCTCTGATTTCACTACTTCCCTTTTTGTTTAGCCAGAAAGGGACATGAAAAGCTATCGGTTTAACAAGCAACCTGGGTGAAGTTCCTATCCACCACCTGTAGGGGGCGGCCAAGCAAGCCATATCTGAGAAGACGACCAGGAAAGCCCGCTGACCTGCTGCTATGATGAGCCCATAGACGCCCCCCGTGTTCCCATTGAGCGAGATGTGTGGGCCTCTTCCGCAGAAAAAGACAGAGGCCCCATCCATCCTGACTCCAGCTACCCGACGCCGCAGACATACGTGTGTCTCGTTTGCCGGCTGCCACCACTGCATTCGACAGCTGGCACTGCGGCAGTGATGGAGGGTCAGGGAGCTTGACGCAATTAAGAAAGCGGCAGGCAGGCGGGCCGGCCAAGGAACACCTTCCCAACATGCAGCTAGTAGATGCGGTCTGCAGTGAGGGTGCTCTACACCTGCATGCATGAAGCACTGCATCACTGCGCACGGTCAGCAATACATACTTTTTTAAAAACCACTGAAATAGAATGCTTCTGGAACTCACTGTTCACAATTTCATAGCATTTATCAACAACCTGTTCATCATCATTTATCCATACATCTGTTCATCGTGACTGGATTCACAATCGGGAACCATCCTGTTGATCAGACAGTCCATCCATCCATACATTCATCCAGCTCCAGGGTTTCCTTCCCATGTAGAACCACTTAATTCACTTCATTAAATGCTCAGTTAGATCCTGTTGTAAAGCCTGATTTCTGTGCATCAGTGGAACCTGCCAGATTGGAGTCCTAGAGCCTCAAAGGAAAATCTCTGATGTTTCTGAGAGAAGCCAATCAGTGCATCTTCCACCTTCAATACCACTTATCTAACGCAGGGGCATGAGGAGCCTGGAGCCTTTCCCAGGATGCCTAGGGCACAAGTCAGGGGACACAATGGATGGGATGCCAGTCCGTACCCCTAATCCCAACATGACGACCTTAAGCCCTACCCAGCCATAAAAGTATCCATAAGTAATCAAACAAAATACAAATCTTTTGGCATTTTTAGTTTTTTGATTGAAGTCACAGATTTTTTATAAAATTGAGTTTCCCCTTATGGGAACCAAAAAATATAAAAAAATAACAGGTTATCATCACATTATGGGGACATTTGATCCCTCAATGTAATATATACATGACACACACACATACACACATACACACACACACACACACACATACACACACAACAGGGACAGCATTTTGCCTAAATGACATGCCTTTGGGGTGGAAGAGATAACCAATAATCTATATAGTAAAATATAAACTGAGCTGTATGTTATTGAATATGTAAAACTAGTTTTACCACAACATTAACCTAATGAACCTGCTCCCCTTCAGCAGATGGGGGGAGTGATAAGCAGAGAAAGGATACAGGAATCCTCTGTGTAGGGGACAGGCCCCGCACTGCCTGCAGCCAAGTAGCTGTAGAAGGAGACCTCCAGCGTGTAGCAGTAGGACATGTCGTCCAGAAGCCCCCCCAGGAAGCGCCGGCCTGTGCCGGCCTTGACCACGTCACGGTTGAAGGACGTGCTGGACTGGAGAGAGCAGAGTGCAGAGCAGCATTAGGAGGGAGAGATCTGAGTGTGCGTCCATGGCAGGGAGGAGTGAGACCCAGCACTGGGGAGCTGTCTGTGTGGCAGCCCAGTGACTGGGAGAAACGGGCTTAAAATCCAAAACGAAGAGCTAAACGTGCACCGCACCTAAAAACATTTATCTCAAAAACCAAGCCGATCCTACAGTGTAAGACAGGGAGGCAATTTTTCAGTGGCTTATAGTCAGAAAGGTATTTCACACCAACAGGTGAGAATTTACTGTTCCACCACAGTGTCACACACATGCACGCGAATGCACGGACACCATATAAATAAAAGAAACATTGCAAACTGCTCTATTTCACTTTGGACAAAGACAGAGAAAGAGGTAGACAAACTTAGAGACAAAGAGAGAGATAGAAAAATTGAAACAGAGAGACACATAAACAGAGATAATAGAGGCAAAGAGAGAGACAGAAACTGAGACATACAGACAGAGTGAAACAGAGGGAAACAGAGAGCGAGATGAACAGATCGGCAGGCAGACAGACAAACAGGGAAATACACAGGGAAAGAGAGATAAAGAGACAGACAGATATGTAGACAGGCATATAGACAGACAGACGGGACATGGACAGACTGACAGACATGCAGGCAGGCAGACAGAGACAGACAGGCAAACAGGCACAGAGACAGACAGGAAGACAGGGTAATAAACAGGTAGAGAGAGATAAAGGGACTGAGACAGAAACACAAATAAGCCCACAGATAGACAGGCAGACAGGGAAATAAACAGACAGATAGGCTGATGGACAGACATGCAGACAGACAGACAGACAGACAGACAGAAAGACAGATGGGATAATAAACAGACAGAGAGATATAAACAGACTGAGACAGATACATAGACAGGTAGACAGACAGGCAGACAGAATGATAAGTCAACAGAGATGCAGGCAGGCAGACAGGAAGAAACACAGGCACACCAACAGACAGACAAACAGACAAAAAGGTACAGAGAAATAAAGTGACTGAGAAACACAATTGAGCACACAGACAGACAGACAGACAGATAGACAGACAGACAGGGAAATAAACCGACATACAGGCCAGCAGACAGACATGCAGACAGGTACATACACAGATATGGTGACAGACATGCAGGCAGACAGACAGACAGGGAAATAATCAGGCAGAGATAGAGAAAGAGACTGAGACAGATACAAAGACAGACAGACAGATAGGCTGAAAGACAGGCAGGGAAATAAACAGGCAGAGGGAGATTGAGACTGAGAGACAGGCATACACAGATGGGCAGAGAGACAGATATGCAGGCAGACACACAGGCAGGGAATAAAACACATAGAGAGAGAGATAAAGAGACAGACATACACAAATGGGCAGACAGACAGGCAGGCAGAGAGAAATGGAGACAGGTAGGCAGGTAGAATTACAGACTGAGAGACAGGCAGAGGGCCATATCCCAGAGGCCAGTGCCCCCCCTGTCACGGTGTTGTAACACACTAACACTGCAGCCATTCCTTATTCACACACGTCACCCAGTTATTAAAGGTCGGCCTTTTGCCCATCAGACCCACAAAAATCCCATCGCTGATCTGCGACAAGCATCAGAGTAACTGGCTACGCGTGATGTAACAGAGTGTGAGGGTGCAAGTGTGTCACCGCTCAGAAAAGGTTACACTCCTGTCCACGTGCAATGGCTACCACTGCGAAATGTCACACTCTCTGAATGCCGAAGGTTATTTTTGATGAGAAGCTGGCTATTACATGAAAAAGAAAGGAAGTTTTGGGGGACCACAAACTTTTAAAACGAGGAGAGGAACAAGGACATTGGCTTCCTCTGCATACTGTTATGAAGTTTACAGACTGTGCCAAAATTGCGAGTCAAGCTTAATCCCTCATCCTGAGTGCCGTACTTCCCCACATCCTCTCAATTCCCATCACTGCAGCGCAACTCCAGCGGCGAACATACAGCAAAGCCAGCCAATGAGGGGAGAGACCCCTGCTGGCAGCGTCTGACCGCGGGGATCTCTGATGCTAATGTTTATTTATTTCCATGACATTCGTTAAGATTCTGTTTGTGCACCGTGTACTTTAAAATTTGTTTGCACTATGTTTACTTGTTTGAACTATGTGTACCATCTTCACACCTTGTCTGTTTTGCATCTGTTCATTTCTGCTCTGCTGCTATGTGCACGAGAATTTGCCCCTGGGATCAATAAAGTTTATGTGATGCACTGTGATGGGAATGGCCTTCCAGGCATGGAACCGAGAGGATCTGGCTTCACAAGGCCGTCTCCTCCCGCCATCACGGGTCGCCGCTCGTTTGCGGCGTTGGTTTCTGCCCGTCATTAATGTCACTGTCTTTGTTGATAGACTCCAAAGGAAGTGAGTCGTCCTCCTTTACCCTGGCTGAGGACAGCAAAATAAAGTGAGTGATAATGGGACATTCAGACCAGCATCTGTGCTAATGTGCTATTTTTCCTGCCTTTTTTGAGATGAAGTGTGCAATCTCCCCTGCACGGGCGCGGGTGGTCCTGGTCTCCGACAGGTACAGTATGCGTGTGTGTGGTTAGCGGGGCAAAATGATTTTTTTTCCCTCTTTGTTCATTTGGTCTTAGTAATGTTACGTATCTGTAGTGTGATTTTGTCACCAAATAACTTCAGTGAAAGTGAATCGTCATGGGACTGGCCCATCTAAGTCTCTGTTGGCCCACCCAAGCTGTGATTTCTGCCCCACTATTAATGCACCTTTATATATGAAGAGACTCAGAGTAAGCTGTGATACACTTTGCTGTAAAATAAAGAACTCAACCGAATCTGAATTTTAATTTGCAGAAAATTTATAAATGAGCCACGATTTCATTGAAATGTTACATTTCCTTGTAGGCTGCACACTGCGGTAATAAAAACAATGTAGTGTAGATGTAAGTTGACAGAGCACACCAAATAAGGACGCTCCTTCTGCGGGTGAGCGAAGCACAGCGAGAGAGGCGTGCTTTACGTGGGTCAGGAGCCTGTGTGCAGACCCTTGCCCGCAGATAGAGTGGGCTGAGCCTCAGGGTCCCCTCACCCTCCATGGGGTGTCCAGCGTACTGCTCAGCTGCGGATCAGCGCTGGGCCCATCGGTCAGGCCACAACGGCCTTCTGACAGGCGGATGGGCGCATTCGCAACTGTTATGGGTCCTGCGGCTGCACTTACAGTAATGAAAAGCAGCCGAGTGCCTCCCCAGCCCAGCCCACGCTCTGCCGCCCCGCCCGGAGACGAGGCAGAAGGAGGAAGTGACCACGCTGTCCCCGTCACACGGTAACCTTCCCCTCCTGCCCGAACAGGGAGACGTGGCTCCCTGCTAGGTGACAGATTGCCAGAACTTCAGCTTAACTCCTCGGCACCCGGGACTCGCTCTCACTCGCAGACTTTTCAGAAAGACGGGAACATCGACGGGGACGAGGCGTCTGATACTTCCGGTCACAAAGAGGCAGCCCGTGAAGTGCAGGGCGGAGAAGTAGCATGGGAAGCTTACGCTGGTGAACGTTTTTACAGATTGACAGCTAACCTACAACCGGAAAGTTGTCTGGTGTTGATGACACAATGTTTATTTCCCAAACTCTGTTATTATTAGCCTGCTCCAAAATAATGGAGATTAAGCGATTAGCAAATGTTAGCCGCGCCCTAATACTGACTATTTCTGTGTTTAACACAGAATAATAACATACAAATTAGGATTTCTGGAAAGCTATAAAAATGTATTTACCCTAATCCTGCTCTGTTCGCAGTTCACAGTTACAAGTACTATGGTAAACGCTTCCTTGTGGGGGCTGAAACTGAGGGGTGTCTGGTGCTCACCAGGGAGAAGTCAGGCGCGTTTTGGCAGAGCAGGCGTGGGAAGACGGCCTGGCGCTGGACACGCTCCTCGTCCTCAAACACGTTGCCGTACATGAAGCCGTTCATCATGGTGGAGTGGGCATGCACGTCGATGTAGAATTCCAGGCTCACCTTCTGGGGGGGGCAAACACAGACATGGAATGCGCAATGAGGTCTTAGGGATCAGAGACAGACGCCACGTCGTGAGACCACAGTGCTTAAAGGGTGTCCTGCGACCTCCAGCTATGCCCCTCCGGTGCCCCTCTCGCCCCCAGGGCCGTCTTTAGGGCCATGGTGTTATGTAAGCAGTCACATTAAGGCCACACCCAAGCTGGGCTAGAGGAAGGACCTGCTATGGCAGCCTACCAACCTTGCAGACCACGAGCCAAGTGGACAGCAGGAGCCGGGATCACCCACAAGGGAAACGCCCCACAGTGAGCCTGAGAGTGCGGGGGGGGGGGAGGTAGGTGACGTAGGGTGTCAAACTGGAAATCCCTCTGCTATTCAACGCCAGGAGAGAGCTCCTTGAGGGGCTAGCCTTCACCTGTTTGCAGACCCCAGAGGACGTTCCAAAGCCCAGCCTGGAGGCGAGATTCCGGCGGTGCATTGAGGGCCGTTGACGTCAGCAGCTATGTGACATGTGACTGGTTGGACGGCTTGTGCTTGGAACTTTCCAGAAACCACCCCCTGCCCATCCTCTGTGCTCCAGCTCCTTCAAGGCTCCTTCCCAGTGTCTCTAACCCCCCCATGTTACTGCCCTGCCCCCCCTTATCCCTAACCTGAACCTCCCCATGTCACTGACTCTCCCCCTCATGTCATTAACCCTAACCCCCCCCCATGATACTGCCCTGCCCTCCCGTACCCCTAACCCTAACCACCCCATATCGCCCGCCTCACCCCCCCGTGTCCCTGGCCCTCCACCTGCTGCCTCTCATTGCACATTCTGTTGTACACCTCAGCGCCCCGGGGGTCACCAGGCAGGAGTGGGTGGAGGGGAGATGGGTGGGCGCGGGGCTGCTGTACAGAGGATGGGGGAGGGGGGGGATTGAAATTCTGCTCACAGCCAAAGCAATTTCCTGGCAAGCAGCGTACTGTCAGCCCAGTGATGGCAGCCTGTGAAATACGGCGTCTGTGAGCGGGCCAGGAGCGCACTGGCAGTGTGATGGATGGAGCCCGTGGGGGGGCATGCGCCATTAGGGCGGCTCTGTCGGCCGCGTGCCGGAGCACCGGGCTTTAATGGCGGGAAAAGCTCTGCCGATAAGAGTGCAACACAGAGCTGGGACACAGAGCCAGCCTTTGGTGACGCTGCTGTATAAATTTGCCCTTGTAATTTACAACCCAGAATAAACATCCACCAGGTGGCGTAATCCTTAACATAGCTGTGCTCATTCAGAGCTGGTAAAAAAAACAAGCACATGATCTGGCTTGGGATGCCACCAAAGTGAGTGGTGCCCATACTGTGGACCTTCCTAGCCGCTACCCCCTCCCCCCATGAGTGCTGGACAACTGAAGAGGACAAACCTGGCCAGTCCAGGCCCAGTCTGCCCTGCTCTGGCCCAAAATCCAGGGGGACACTCTGACAAAAGTGTTGGCTAGCACCTCCTGCTGGAAGCACATTGACAGCGCAAACAGCATACATGCATGTGGGAATCATCTGGGAAAAGGCTGTATCTGTGAAGCGCTAATGCTATTTCCAAAGAGGGAAGACATCTCACAATGCCTCATGCCTCTGGCGCAGAGCAACCGACCTCTTTGTCCATCACATAAAAAAAACAACAAACTGAGCGATTTTATTCCCCACAAACAATTCCGTCCTCCCCTCAGCCTGCTGTTTTGAGCAGTGTACTTGGAAGTGGAAGGTCAAAGCCTTTCTGTCTGTTACAGGCTTATCGAAGGTGAATTCATTAGTCCCAAGCTTTTAGGACGGTAAGACATTTCCTTATCTTATACCGAGCTTAATGGTACTGATATTAGCGGGATTATCGACCACCCTTCCGATTCAGTCTTTGCGTGATTGGCTAAAGGAATTTAAATAACAATAATAATGATTAGTTTTGCAATTAATTTATAACGAAGAATTTAATGTCTTCTTTTGGCTGAATGGAAATAACCTTCAAGGCTTTGGACTGAAGGTCAGGATATACAAAATAGTGGAATTATGACAGGAAAAGATAAAATTATAAAAATGTATACATACATCATCTATGTCCTCAGCTGTGCGAACTTTAAATAAGATCTGAACGTCAGTCCTAAAATGACACACAGCGGCACAGGCCGCTGTTATCAACAGCTTCTCGCTGGCGGAGGACCGCAGAGCCGTAAAACCAAGATACAAAGATAGATGGCAGTATGGAGCTACTTGTTTTCTACTCGCAAGCAAGGAGGTAATGGTCTACTGCTGTCTCTGACTGTCAACTGACCTATGTCAGCTGACCCATGCTCCTGGGTATGACAGAGGCCACGGAACGAAGGGTTCTCCAGCACCACCACTGCACAGGTGAGGTATTACCATGTGAAACGGTAGATGATAGGCTGGGGGGGGGGGGTGGTTTTGGGAAGGCCATAAATCTATGGGTCTCCAAAACGTGAAAAGACGATGACAGCAGAGGACATTCGGAAAGACAGACGTAGGGCGCATTTCCAAATTCAGAGGACTGCAGACAGAAATCCACAGGCCAGCAGGGCAGTGTGTGTGTTGGGGGGGGGGGATATTAAAGGAAGCAGGGTGGAGCAAAATTCATCTAGTCTACCTGACAGAACCTAATACATTTGTTTCAGATGGAAAATTAATTTTCTAATATTAAAAAGGTCAGAAATGAACTATGGCAACGGCGCCCCCTTTGTCATCTTTAACAAATTATCCAAAATGGCGCTGTCAGATTGGTGGGCATGATGAATGTTACTAGTAATCAGCCAATCAAAAACAATTCTTCTTTTCCTTTGATAAATGGAGTGGAAAAGCATCACTTAAGCTGCAAGACGGATCCATTTATTTCTTTTTCATTATTGCTTTTTTCCTATGTTAAACAAACACTGCCAAGCCACAGTGCTACCGAGAGACATTATTTTCACTCGTTTATTGACGTTATTTCCCCCTCTGTGCTCACTTTTGCATTTAAAAAGACATATCTTTGTTTTTGTTTTCTGAAACCCACTCTGGGTTTAATGTCTTCCATTCAATTGGGCCGATTGCTGCAGAGTCAGAAAATTGGGTGTGACAAGAGTACTGGGTGAAATCCTGTGAAATCGAACCGAGCGGCCTGATAAATCTCACAATATAAACAATTCAAGGAATAATGCAGAAAGCACGAAGGTAGAATCATTCTGTGGTACATTGGTAGGCGCACAGACTCCATGCAGTGAAATTTTCACTGGAATATTGTTAATATTCTCATTAAAACACAATTTTAATATGGAATACGGGTAGCCTCATTACATGCTAACATGTGCCAGTAGCTCCAGCCCCAGCATGCACCCCTCAGGATTGGAGGAAATGAAGTGGACCGAGGGCACGAGCGCGGGTCAGAACCACATGGCGGGAGCCCTTCAGCACCACCTTATCTGTGCACCGTGTCCGAGGAGATTAGCTAGAATCCAGTTGGAGGGAATACAGTCATGTGACTGAGTCAAAATGACTGGCACGATTACCACCTCACACTCTTCAGTTAAATGCTTTTAATTACTGCACTTGCCACGATTTCATCATTTCTCTTACAAAGAGAAAAATGAATGCTATTCACCCTTTTCCTTTTTATTCAAAGGCTTTAAAAACAGTTCTTACTTGTATTTCATGGGCAAAAAAAGCAACAGATATCTTCTTTTTGAGTGGGCCAATAAGTGGATTACTTTTAAAAGATGAAGATGTGTGGAAAAAAGTAGTGATTCATTTCTGGGTTACCTAAGAACTACACAGAGAAAGTAAAAATACACTCAGAGGGAATACCTTTAGAGTGATATTTGATGGTAATATAAATGGCCAATCTGAGTAATATATGTACTGCTGAAGCAGTCGGTCCCCCAGGTTGGATGTCATAAGAAGGAACAGTCACTTCTGACAGAATGTGAGAAGGTCATGGTTACACTCTTTCAATGGGATTTAATGCGATAAACATTCTCTCACCACTCTGGAGCCAAATGGACTATATCCCACAGTCGTGGTGGCCCATAACTCAAGGCGCTACACAAAGGTACCACGGCTGGCTGGATTCCTGCATGTTCTCCCATCTCTCTGCAGCAAAACTGGTCTGTTAGGCGCTCAGGGGGAACCTGGACTGAATGCTCCCCCCCACCCTACGGTAAATTCAGGTGAGGACCCCTCACATGTGCGTCACACGCTCCTGATGACAGGCCTGCGGTGCGTATCATAGGTGCCCTGCTGTCTGTTCGCCTCAGCATGTCCTATCAGTCCCTACTGAGGCTCAAGGAAGGGGATGTGTGGGAAAGTAAAAGCAGGGGTGTGTGTGTATCTGTCTTTGTGTATCTGTGTGTCTATGTGACTATATGTGTCTTTCTGTGTGTATATGTGTGTGCATGTACTTGTGTTTATGTCTGTGTGTATTTGTCTGTGTATGTGTGTGCGTGTATATATGTGTGTGTATGTATGCCTGTGTGTGTGTGTGTGTGTGTGCGCGCACTTGTGTGGGAGCCGCAGGGACCCGGCAGATCAGTCTGCCATGACTGAGCTCATCGATCAGCATGCCCAGGCCGCAGCTGAAGGTTAAGCCAGGGGCTGGATCCCCCTGTGCGAGGAGCCAAGCAGCCCGGGTCTTATCAGGATCTCAGCGTACAGCAAAGGCCTGGCACCTCCCACAATGGGCTCTGACCTTCAGTAATCCTGCAACCTGTGTTTCTACATTCAATTAACAAGACGGCAAGAACATCTCTGTGAAGAAGAAAAACAATGTAGGTAAAACAGAGAGACACCAACCCCAAAGATACACAGACCCCGACTCTCACTACAGAGCAGACTCAGGTCTTTCCTGTAGATCAGTGATTCCCAAACTGGTCCTCAGGGTCCCCCAGCTGGTCCACATTTTTTCTCCCTCCCAGCTCCAGCAGGACAGATTTGAAATGTGTATACAGCTGGGTGATGTAGTTACCCTCCCGTGCAAGGAGGGCGCTGCAGTTCACATTTGGAACTGCCAGTCACTTACTTGAGTACGGAGTCCCCCGGTAGCCATGTAGTCATGCAGATAATATTGATAGCTCATCAATATATTTTTTTTCAAATTGGTTTGTTGTTTGTCTGTTTTCTTTAGCTTTTGATCGGTTACTCTTTGCATAGTAGGAACACATCTGTGATGATGGTTACTTTTGGGCCATTCCGTTGCAAGCAGAATTCCAGTGGAAATGCATTTAACGTATCACAGCTAAGCATCCTGTTAGTGGTGTTGAGTAGACTGAAGGACACCATTACAGACATTCCACCCAATGAAAAAGCTTAATCTGTTAGGGTATCTGGACCCATGAGGAAGAGGTCCGGCCCTGGACCCCTCGTCCAATCATAATTAAGATCTTATTCAGTATTTCTGACTGTGAAACTGAGAGTAATGTCAGCTTCTCTCTGCCTCCTGACTGGCCCAGGAACAATCACATGCATCTGAATCTTACAAATAAGAGCAGATAAGCAGTAGCAGAAAATAAGAGTCTTTAAAGCGCATCCGCGTGCATTGGGCTGGCCGGAAACTCACAGGCTCCTGGTTCATGTGGAGGATGAGCTGCTTGACTGCGTGCAGGGTGGGGTGTGCCCATGGGGAGGGCTCCTGCCAGTGCCGGTTGAGATCGAACCCCATCAAGGAGCACCTTGGAAGACAGAGAAGCCCTTCAGTCATTTAGTTGCCATTTCCTCCCTTGTCCAACGCATCTCCTACTAATTCCCCTAGATTTACCCCTGCAGCCCCTGTGTTCCTCTAGCCAGCTGCACATTGAGTGTCCTTAGCCCCCTGCCTGCTGACTCCCCCGGTGACCCCCCCGTCACTCTCCCCCCAATATACTGCATTATTTCTTCCAGCCTTGTCTCCCAAGACCATCTTCTGCCGACAGACTATCTCTTCAATCTTTCTGTTCCTACATCTATAAATTTCAATCTTTCTAATCTCTAGCTCCCCGGCGGTGGACTGAATTTCCAGCTCAGTCTTTTAT